TATTTCTTTTAATTTGTCATATTATACCAAAAGCCCAGAGCATTCCCAGGAGATGTATCGCTTATGCAGTTTGTCTGTGGGTTGTGTCCATTGAAAGGTTCGTATTTTTAATCTCACCTCAATTTTGCCTTAGCTTTAGGAATGATGTAGTTCCTACAACAAAAAGTGACTCAAAGGCAGACAAAAGTTCATATCTGTGCATCATACGACGGTTAGTGTCCTTGCTGCACTCAAACCACTTACTTTGATCCTCTGTTTTTGTATGTTCTATCTGTGTGTGCATTGGTTTTTTCCAGGGGACATAGTTTTCCTCCCAGAGTCCAAAAACATTTCAGTTTCTGTGACCTGGTCTCTTTCTCCCTTTATATGTTTAGTGTTTACCTGGTCCTCATAACGCTGATATAAAACTGGTATAACGCAAAACACTATAACACTGGTTATAGCAAGGGAGCATCAGTTAACAACTCAGCTCAAAATGGCCCATCAATGTAAAATGGGACCTAAAAAACAGTTATTACACACCTGCCTGGTCTCCCGATTTTGACTTTCAACTTAAAGTAAATCAAGATAAAGATTACTTTAATAGATAGAGAGGTTGACTATCATAATTAAGATCAGGGAGTTGGCACTTAAGAGGATTATCAAACTGTTTTCACTAGGGCCTTGATAACAGGGCAACTCTCTGCTGTACTCTTGGTAGAGTAGATTGAATGTACTTATACTAAAAGTTGTTCAAATGAAATAAAAAGAGAGAGGGTCAAATGTCAAAGACTAGAATACATGAAGTTTCATTGTTTGTTAAATAGTTATCAACTTTTTTATTTTTGGCATAGATTTGGTCTATATCTAAGGTGGTTGTTTGGTTCAAATTTGAAGAACTTCACATATTCACATATTCTATGAATGTTGGATTAAAACTGTTATTATCAGCATGATGCACATATTTTTGTCTTTGGAGCTGCTATTCAAATGACCAGGCCAAAACCATGTGTCAAACTCAAGGCCCATGGGCCAAATGTCACCGCCAAGTCATTTTATGTGGCCTGCGGAAGCTTAAAAAGTGTTTGATTGCTTTATAATAAAGTCTATGTTGAGTTTCTTAACTTGATTTTTTATTATTACATGGATTAATGTGCAATATTTATGACTTGAATAAATAATAATTAATTTCAAGAACAGGTATTAATACTCTATGGAATCGTTACAGCTATACAGTCTTGCAGTTACAATGTACTCTACAAGAGGATTGAATGTATGACACAAAATTATTGGATTCTTGCAGTATATGGTCAGTAATACACACTATAAAATTATTCCTATATTTTAATTTATTTATTGTGATTGTTGATGGTGTACCACCACTCCCTTTGTGATCTACTGGTAGTTCACAATCTACTTATTGGGACACCTATGTGACGTAATTCTAACTGTAATGCTATGCTCATCTCTCTATCTAAAATAGATCACAGCCCCCCAAGGGGTGAATAAGTGCCTTAACCATAGGTGACCTGTCTTCTACAGTTAGGTTTATGTGAATCTGAATTATTGTGAGCCTCATCAAAGCATTCTTTGTGCATAATAAAGTTCATGCTTTTTGAATGATGTGACAACTAAAAAGAATCCTTGAGACTGCTTGTGGCTGCAAGTCTGTTATCTGCCTCTCAACTTTAAGGGTGGATTAAAAGCAGCATTCCTCTACTTTTCTGTCATCTTCTTAATAGCTGCAAACAAATCCCCTCTTATTTGCAATAGAGGACATGGTTATAGGAGGACTGCTTGCACAGACGCTTTTAAATATATGTCACCATGTGTGTTCAGCCGCTTTGTTGTTGTTTTTTTCTTCTTTTTTGCTACTTTTAAAAAAACTATTTGCTGCTGTTTAATTCGCCCTTTTGTTTCCTTATTTACTTGCTAAAATAGGAGACAAAAAACATATTTTCTTTACAGTTTTACTGTTTCGTCTGTTGTATTTTGCCAAAAACCCTATCCTCCTTTTTTCATCTTCACTCTCCTACTCTTGTCTGTGCTCTCTACATGTCTTTCTATCCTTGTTTTCTTACATCTTGCAATTCATCCTCCCCTCATGTTTCATCTTTTTTTCTTTATCCACGATGATAACTCCTCTAAATTTAACCATCTTCATCATCCCTTAGTTAAATGTCTCTCTATCTCCCTTCCTCTGTTGTAAAGTGAGGATGAAGAATGTTAAGTCCCTCATTGTCCTCTTTAAAACTCTCAATTGGACTTGTAAAAGATGGAGAACTATTGTAAAAATAATTAAGAGCCTTATTGAAATGTAAAAGTGGACTACTGTTGGTGAGTCAGAGTCAGAGCCAGAGACAGAGAAGAAGAGGAGGGCGTTTGGTTAGGAGAAAAAGAGAAAAGATGAAGAATAGAAGTGTTAGTCTGAAGTTTGGAACTCTGAATGTAGGTACAATGAAAGGGAAAAGCAGAAAAATAGCTGATGTGATGGAGAGAAGAAGAGTAGATATTTTGTGTGTGCAGGAGACCAGGTGGAAGGGCAGCAAGGCTAGAAACATTGGAGGAGGCTACAAACAGTTTTATCATGGTTCAGATGGGAAGAAAAATGGAGTAGGGGTGATCCTAATGGAAGAATATGTAAGAAATGAGGTAGAGGTGAAACAAGAGTCAGACAGGTTGATGTGTGTGAAGGTAGAAGTAGAAGGAGAGATGATAAATGTTGTTAGTGGTTATGCCCCACAGGTGGGCTGTGAGTTGGAAGAAAAGGAGAAGTTCTGGAAGGAGCTAGATTGGATGGTAGAGAGTATCCCCAGGAGAGAGAGACTGGTGATTGGAGCAGACCTAAATGGTCATGTAGGGGAAGGGAACAGAGGAGATGAGGAAGTGATAGGCAGGTTTGGTGTTAGGGAGAGAAACGTAGAAGGACAGGCAGTGGTAGATTTTGCAAAAAGAATGGAAATGGCTGTGGTAAACACATATTTCCAAAAGAAAGAGGAACATAGGGTGACTTACAAGAGTGGAGGCAGGTCCACACAGATAGATTATATTCTATGTAGAAGATGTAATCTGAGGGAGATTAGAGACTGTAAGGTGGTGGCAGGTGAGAGTGTAGCCAAACAACATCGGATGGTAGTGTGCAAAATGAAGATGGAGGTGACAAAAAGGAAGTGAGTGAAGACAGAGCAGAAGATCAACTGGTGGAAACTAAGGAAAGAGAAATGTTGTGAAGACTTCAGGAAGGAAGTA